ACAACCATGTTCAAGTGACGGTTGGAGTAGCGAAAGGTTTTTTCTTCTTAGTGGGTAGCAGCTCTCAAAGTTTCATAGGCACATTCAAACCCACGCGGAGCAGCCTTTCTGTCCATACTCATCTGTCATATCCGATCTGTAGGTAGCCTCCATCCTCACTTCTACGTGTTTTAAAATAAACCAGAGGAATTTATATTTTTGTAGAGCCAATGCTGAAATCGCACAAGTCAGGGGCAAGGCTCAGCAAGAACAAGCAGCATATCAAGCTAGCCTCCGCAAAGAACAGCTGAAAGTGGATGCATTGGAAAGAACACTGGAACAAAAGGTAATTCAATATCACTGCCCTAAAGCTAATTATTACAGTGATGCCTTGTGCCATCACCAGTAATGATGGGTGGTGGTTATTAGGCCTGTGTAAATAGGGATGTATACAGTTCAATTCGGATTTGGCCAATTTGGAGGACAGTGATTCGATTCAGAGATTTGGGTCACTGTCCTGAATTAATTCGGCTGAATCAGCTTCGAAAAATTTGGCGCTGATTCAGAGAGATTCGGTGATTCGGCCATAGAATATAATGGGGAATCACTGAAATACCTATAACTTTGTCATTTTTTGGTGGATTTGGATTAAAAGAGCAGAGATGGTAGCCCCTTCTGAGGGCATGAAGTCTACCAAGATTCAAGGAGATAGGTGCAGGGGTTTCTGGGAAACTGCACCTCAAACTGTTGAAATCAAAACTCATGTCATGTCTGAGTGTAAAGGCACAGTGGGATAAAAGAGCAGCGATAGTAGCCCCTTCTGAGGGTATGAGGCCTGCTAAGTTTCAAGAAGATAGGTGCAGGGGGTTCTGGGAAAGTGTACCTCAAGTTTCTGGTTGCAAAACTCGTGTTGTGTGTGTGTTAAGGGGTATAGGTTGTAGCCGTGTTGGTCTAAGGACATAGGCAGACAAGGTACTTCGGGTCAATCTGATATCTTTTATTAAACTAATTGAAGAGTTGGAGAGATGCATCGTACCAGGCTTTTGGGTTGAAAAACCCTTTGTCAGGCTGAGGAAGCACCTGCAGTTCATGTGTCTGCTGGTCCTGGATGGAAGAAATAGTAAAGAAACCAGAGGCTGGCATGCAGTGCAGGCAAGAAAACCAGTCAGTGAAAATGTAAATTGAGGCATCATGGGGTGAGAAACAGGCTGGGGGGTGGAGAGGGATGTAGCAGGTAAAAGTGGAGAGGTACCTGGGGCGTTACATGTCAGGCAGGTTATAGTGTGTCTGAAATCCAATGTCTATATTGAGTCCATGAGGTTTTGTATGTTGGAGGTGGATGAAGTGAAGTATGTTGTTTCTACGTCCCTCCCCCAGAGCACTGTGATTGGAAGGGAACTCAGGGAAAGATAACAGCCACTGGCCAGCTACAGATGTCAGTGGATCTTAGAATCCATGTATATCTTATGGTCTCTTGACTATAACTGCTCGCTTTCAGTGTTTTGTACTTGAGGTATGGACAAACAAGCAATTTACAGTGATTAAAAGGGGCTGGGACATAGCACAGAGCAGCCAGTCCATAATAAATTTCCATCTGCCCACTCATCCCTCAGTAAGTGAAGGCTAAACTGGCATTGTAACCCTATTTCATTCAGTGGTAAGCTGCCCTGCTTTAGTATTTACTGATTGTGGGATAGAGACATGAGAAGAAGATTGTGAAGTAAGAACAGGCACACAGGTATTTGTCTGCTGTACGGTAAGTCCCTGCCCCCCCTTATACTAACTGTAATTTGCCATTTGTCCATACTCTTAATCAATCCTGATAGATTTAAAGGAGACAAAAGTAATGTAATAAAGACCAATGTAATATTAAATATTTTCCAAATCATTATTTTAAACTACTAGTGGGGATTGCCATAATTAGCTATATTAAAGTAGGCAAAGGTGCTGTATGGTGATAAAGGACATTGTTGCAATACACTGTATTTCATGCATGCTAGAGTTCAGTATTTGAGATGGGGGTTTTTGTTCCCAGTAGTAAAAATACTACTTTCCTCCCTCTAAGATCAAATAAAAGAAAGAGAAGGATTAATGTTTTGTTTTAAAAGATAGTGTTTTTTGCTGTTAATTTTGTCTGTCTGTTTGTTTTTTAGAATAAAGAGATAGAAGAATTAACAAAGATTTGTGATGAACTGATTGCCAAAATGGGGAAAAGCTAACTTTTAACCAAATTTCTGGACTTCAATTTTGAGTGCAATATGACCATTGGCACACTGATGTCCATACATTTATGTGGACAGGTTATATTTTCACTTTTTCGTATGCACTACTGTATTTTCTTTCTAAATAAAGTTGATTTAATTGTATGCAGTACTAAGATGACTATCAAAATTTCTTGCTATTGTTTGCATTTTCATAGTATAATTCATAGCAAGTTGATCTCAAAGTTCCTGTATCAGGGAGATTGTCAAGTTCTCTAATAAATGACAAATTGCTGAACCTAGCCTTCCCTTTGTACATGAGTTCCCATGTTGGATGTCTTTTGGATTTAATATAAACATGTATTACTTGCATGGGGACTCTTGCCTTAAGGAGTGTAAACTTGATCTGCATTTGCTGATTTGTAAAATAAAATGAAAAAATAAAAAAAATGAAAACTGCATGTCTCTTAAATAAAATTCTCTATTGTAAATAAAAATTTTCGTTGAAAATTGGAAAGAAGCATGGCTTTATTTTACTTGCTTTTTCCGCATGCAGTGCCAGACACACTGTAAATGGAGGTACAAATTCTACTTAAGTAACTGTTTTACCCAAGTAACTTAATACACATGAGCAGTGTCATGGTATTTCCTGGAACTGCTCAAAAGATTAAAATGTCTTATGCACATCAATATCTGCTTAAGCATGGACTTAATCTTTCCAGGTGCATTCTTGCCATTCAGCCAGGTGCATTCTTCCATTACCATTCTTGTTGTTCAGCAAAGCACTGAAGAAGGTATATAAGTATATTCATGGTAGACACTGAACACATTTTCCTCCTGCTATTACTTTAAGAATTTGCCCACACAGGGATGAAGAACATCTGGTTAGGAGTATAATCAGAATAAGCTAGATAAGTAGCATTCTTGTACACCTCTTCATCCTCTAAGTCATCCTCTGTGCAGGATTACATACATAAGATAAGCATTAGGGCTTTAATGATAAACAAACTGCTTCTTCGTCTAATGGTACATCACTCGACTCTCCATGATGAGGACGGTCTTCAGTGTGGTTTTTCTCAGCTCGCTTTTTGTAATCAAAAGTAAGTGATTTCAAATGACTCTTTTTTAATGGATTCCTAGTTTAGATGCCATGCAAAAACTCAGCCTCTTTTTCCAGTGTTACCTTTTCCACTGTTTTTGTGTTATAGAATCAGTTTGTTAATGTAGATATTAGAGAAGAATCTCGTCTAAGACATTTATAGTAAAATACTAAGATTTTAGTACATTTTCCCCTGTGGATATCTGCTATACCTTTTGGGCTTTGCAAGTTTCAGTTGCATTGTTTAATTTTTTTAGCAAATTCACACTTACATTTAAAACTACCATGCAGTTTTTTACTATTGCTCAGCACTGGACAAAAGGAGGATGAAACTGTGACTAAAGTTTAAGCGAAAGGAGGTTCAGGAATTAAAGCCAACACCTCAAGTTTGGCCCAACATCACTGTCACAACATCCCACCTGAATGGAGGCTTTCAGGGAGAAATTAATCTCAGTATCCTGGTAAAATATAAGTCCTTATAAGTCTGCTGTATGTATTCTATTCCTAGCATTGCCAACTGAAAGACACAATGAGGGGAAAAAGGCACGTGATATTTTTAATTTTTTAGTGGGATCTATTTTTTAAATGTTCCAAGAAGGTGTGGTTCCAATTGCAATGCATTTAACAAGCTTAAATATTTATTATGTGAAAAATACTGAAGTCCAAGTAATAGGTAACTTTTTGCTTTCAATGACAATCTCAAAGGAGAAAAAAAAGAAAATTTTGATTGAATTTTGCAAAACCTGTAGACTTCTCAGGCATTTTGTAAGTCACTAGCCTCTTTTTACTTACTTCAAACAGAAAGAAAACAGTGATAAATGTGTAGTTGCTTCTAACATATTTTTATGTGTATGTCTCAGCAACACCTACATAAAATGCTTTTTCTTAATGACAGGTGAAGCACTGCAATGTTATACTTGTGTAGGGTCAAGTGAAGAAGAGTGTAACAGACAAGGAACTCAGCGATGTCCGGGACAATCGGATGCGTGTTCCCTCATCAGAGGGCAAGGAAGTAAGTAGCTACAAAACTGTAACAAAAGATGTCATATTCATTAACTTCAGCCAGCAGAATTAAATATTCTTAAAAGAATCAGTGTTTTTAGAAGAAGAGGTTGGTTAGATGAGGAAACAAATCTCTAGTTAAATATATTCTGTCATTTTTTAAAGTACTCTTAAGACACCTTAACTCTATTTTAGGATTAGTAGAAATCTGACATAAATAGTCCTTCAAGTAAGCTCTTTAGTTTGTATTATTAATGCAGCCGGTCAGGTTCACTCTCCACACTACAGTGGAATTGATAAATGGGTGATTTTAAATATTAGTCAAACATTACTTAATAATGTATTTTTAAAACCAAGTTACTCTAACTGTGGTTTACGGAGGAAAAGTATTAACAAATCATTGTGTTTGGGGTATTATGCAGATAAGCCACACCTACTGATTATATATGATGTAAAGGTTTCTCTTGTTATATCTGATCCCTGGATGCTGAGATTTCATGTTAATAAGATCTTGAAACAATTACATAAACCTTGAACATTTTGGTTTCTTTTGCCTTAAATGTGGATCTGTTCCAGACGGTGTTATGAAGTCCTGTTCATTCAAATCATTCTGTGACCAGGCAAGGAGGGAAGGATCCAAAGTACCAGGGATGAGTGTTCATTGCTGTTATTCAGACAACTGCAATGCAAAAAGCCTGGGTTCAAGAAGCACCATCTCTGCAAGCTACTTACCTCTCTTGGTCTCTGCAATGCTGTGGCACCTGCTATTTAACTTGAAGTGAAATGAAAAATTAGTACCCCAAAGCTACAAGACTGCCTTTTTAGAATAAAATGATAAAGAAATTCTAAAAATGTTACTTGCATATAACACATCAATCAGCAGAAGTTGAAGAGAGCTGAGAAAGAAGTGGGTATGTCTGGCACAAAAAACTGAAGGTTGAAAGGGAATTTACAGTCTCGGATAAAATTCAGTGGTTTTATTGGGGTGGAATGGTTTTCTGCCATCTGAGAGAAGCTGCCAGACTTCTTGCATCCTCATGCAACTTCTGGTGGTTCCATGTGGCTTCTGCTGGATCCACAGAACTCTGATAATCACCTTTTCCAGTGGCCCACACCTACTCTGGGATGGAGGGGATTGGCAGAAACCTTCTTTCAATGGGAGAGGCAATGTTACTTTGCCTATAGAAAGAAGAGGTTCTGCTGCCGAAGAGCAGTTTTGAATGTAGCAAATGCATCATTTTGCTGGCCAGGGTACCTAGTATAGACCAAGTCATTGTGACTTATACGTGGATTATGCTCACTTGGCCCCTACACACACTAAAAAACTAGTAGTGATTGTATTTAATATTCCGATGGAACTTCCATATTGTTGCAAAATATTGATCTTTGAAAAAAAAGAAAACTTGGCTAGTAGCAGCCTTATAATCTGGAAACAGATAAATAATTTCCAGATTTTTTTCTTAGTGATGGTATAAGTAGACTCAGAAACAAGCTAAAATATTCAAACAGAAATTATAGAAAATTCCAATAAACCATGATTTAGTCTAACAGGCCTTCAGAGAGTACTCACAATCCTGCCAGAAGTGGAAAATGTGAAGTGAGGAGAGATTATAATTAATATTAATTGTTCAAGACAAGGTCTTGGGGGAAAAATGTATGGAAAAACACTGTGATAGATATTTTTGCAGATCTGTTTCCATTCTGCTGTTGACCAATAGTGTGAGAACCTTGCAAAAAAAGATTCAACTGCAAAATAGTTTTCAACCAGTAGGCTTCCTTCCAAAAGATCAGCTTGCTTTCTCTCTCTGCAACACATTTGAAGGATAAGAGAGTTAATCCCTGTGTTGTAGACATAATTGCCAGTTGAATATTGACATTTGGCCTAGCTAAATTCCCTCTGCTGTCTCAACCAGATATAATAGTCTTTCTTTTCTGTCCTAAATTATATGTTTTGGTAATGGGTCAAGTAAACCTGTATGTATATGTGGTTGTTTTTTGCAGTGGTCTTCAATAGGAGCAGGAACTAGTCTTTAATAACGTACACGTTAGTTTAAAGTTGTACAGTAAAGGAAAAAGCACGCTGGTATCTTTCAAGATGAAAGGCGCTATATAGATATTGGGTATTACTATTGTTCATTACAAGCAACCAAGAATGGGGTGTGAGGGGGAGTCTCATTGTTCTGGGCACTCAATAAACACCGAGTATTAGGCAATCTGTACCCTAAAGATTTAATGGCCTGAATAGACAGATTAACACAGGGTGAGAGAAAGGAGAGGGAACAGTGGCGTGTTACTTTCACTTTTGTTGGTGGAAGGGTAAGTTTAATTAGAAAGTGATATGCTAACTAGGAAAAAAGAGAAGAGGGGCTTGGAGCAAACAGCTAATCAGCACCAGAAAGACAAAGTGCTTGCAAAACGACAAAAGGTGCCTAAATGGTTGATGTGGCTGTTGTTGCAACTGCTTCTACCAGTTGGTATCTCTGGCTAGTTCCTCTCTGAAGCAGTAATAGCCCAGCATCTCAGAAATTATATCCATCAGTCATGTATTTCTGCAATATTGTATTTCTACAATATGGTCCACAATTAGTACTAATATTTTCATAGTACAGTTAACCCAAGTGTTACCTTTCGTAGAGCCCAGGAAGAGACGAATAGCTTTTCAATCTTGCTTCCATTGAAGCTAATGGGAATTTTGCCACTAATTCAACTGGAAACATGATTAGGTTCCAAAAATATTTCTGATTATATTAATTATCACCCATCACACCAATACTTTCAAATTTGGGGTCCTAAGAATAATTTTAGATGTTTGACTGTCCACAACTCCTGTAGATTATTTGTACGGAAGTAGCATATAAGCATCATGTCTTATTATTAGTCTACTTAGGTAGGGACTTAATTTTCATAGATGCTAATGACCCAAAGAGACTGATTATCTAAACTGACCCTTCTATATAATGCAGGTTACAGGGCTTAATTTCGGCTTGGAGTCCAATAGGTGTACTTGAACTGAAGGGACATGTCTAGACAAGCGCACGCATATGGCTTGCAGTGCTGCAGACCCATTGGTGGCACCGCAAACCATATGCACCTCACATGCAGGTGTTAGCTACATTGCTAATTTAGAGTGAAGTGGGGTTTTTTGGCACTGGGAAATCACAGTGTTAAAAAAATCTGTGCCAGAAAAAAGTGGTGCGGTGCAGATGGCTGCAGCATGCACTGCCGGAAACCAGAGTCTGGCCAGCCAGAACCATACTTCGGCTGCTGGCCAGGCTCTGTGTCCCCAAATCACCCAGCCTCTCCTACCCCACTTGGGGTAACTTGCTGTGTGCCAGAACGTGCATGCAGGGACATTCCCTGCTAGTTGTCCCTAAGGAATGCACATTACCACTCGTGGGGACATGCCCAGGGATACTTTTCACTTTTGATTCAAGATGTGTAACTTTGTGTATTCAGCTTAGAAAAAAGTATAGTCATCATGTTTATGGAATTCATTTGTCAAATGCAGCTGTCTTCAAATTCATTTTTCACTGGCACTTCAGTATGGGTTTTTCAGGAATTCCATGAAAGTCATTGCAACACAGTAATTCATTGGATTCTACAGACAAATTGTTACATTGTGCTAAACTATGGAATAATTGTACCTTTGGAGACACTTACGTAGTGATGTAATATATGATACTGTATGTATGTATGTATGTTTCCTTAATGAAAAAATAAAACAGATGTATGTTTTCTTAATGAGAAAATAAAACGCGAGGAATCTGATAATGTATCTCAGTTACCAAAACTGCATCTGTGAACTGGGTTTCCTAGTCACCTCTTAAACTATGTTTTCTTGAAGGACTTTTTACTAACAACACTGCTTAATAGACAAGGTTTTAGTTTACTTTATTAAGTAAAAAACTATATATGTGTATATATATGTGTGTATGTGTGTGTGTGTGTGTGTGTGTGTGTGTGTGTGTGTATTTATATATATATATGGTGGTGTTTATTGTTTAAATATAGCCCAGTATAGGATGAAGGTAAAATATTTATCCAACACCTGGCTCTAGAATCTAGCCATTGGAGATGGCCTGTAGATAAACCTAAAACTTCATCCACTACTACCAATCAGTATTAAAGCATCATACTTTCCATGAATGGTGCATGCCCCCAGTGGCTGGCGGGGCACGGCAGTGGCAGGATTGTGGCGGCAGGAGCCCAGCGGTGGTGAGCAGGGAGATCCCACAGATGCCGCCGGCACTGTTGGCGATGGGGGAGGAGGAGAGGGGATGGTGAGCGCCAACCACGGGTCACCCGCAGTCACCGCAGGCACTGGGTCGGCTGTGCTGGCTGCGGGGTGGCGAGCAGCAACCACCTGCAGGTGGCATGTACAGTGTCAGCAGCGCCTTTTTGCAGGGGGTGCCCCACCACACACAGGGGGTACATGTGTACCTGTGTGCACCCCTTACACATCGCCCCGATACTTTCCTCTATCTACACACAACAGTTCATACTTCTTAATTAGAAATATTAAAAATTGTGTGTAATTATCGTAATTGACAGATTGTCAACCAACACATTGATCATTGATAGATAAATGAGAGACCTTTTAAGAGGTATTTAAGAGGGGTTAGATATAAACAATAATTGAAGGTTGGGAGTGTTAAGGGACAGGCAGAAAACATAAAAAAAGAATGCCTATAAAAGCTATATAAAATAAATCTCCATTCAAGGCAGAATGACTGTTTATTTGCCATATAAATGAACTGATTACAAGTTTTCTAAAAATATTTATTGGTTTAGTTAAAGCTTTAAAGTGTCCCCTAATTTATGGGACAAGTGCCCCTTTTAAACATGTATTTGACTTTGTCCATAGCTTTACAACATTTGTAGATTTTGCTGTGACCCAAAGCATGATTGATCCCTAGCTCTTGATAGGGAACTGACAGAGACAGCAGCAGCTTGGAATTTTTACAATCTAGAATAAAGGAGTTATTTTAAAAATGGGTTGTGCATTTTAAGTCAAAGATTTGGAAATTGTTTGTTTTGGACAGTCAGACTTCTATATAAAAAATTGTGTGTGGTGCTTTAGTTTCACATCACTGTACAGAAGCAAATAAAAACTTGTACCTAGTGTACCTTGTTCATAGTGCCATAGTTAACATAAAAATTCAATTGTAGGGCTGTTTCTTTGCGAGTGTAGCTCAAACTTTCTATCTGTGGTTGGGCCAGATAAAATTGTGATAGTTCATAGATTTCATAGATTTCATAGACATTAGGGCTGGAAGGGACCTCAGAAGATCATTGAGTCCAGCCCCCCGCCCAAAGGGCAGGAAGTCAGCTGGGGTCATAAGATCCCAGCAAGATAAGCATCCAATTTGCTCTTAAAGAGGTTCAATGTAGGTGCTTGAACCACCTCCGATGGCAGGCTGTTCCAGACCTTGGGGGCTCGGACAGTAAAGAAATTCTTCTTTATGTCCAGCCTGAAACAGTCTCGCAGTAGTTTATGACCATTCAACCTCCTCATCCCTTGGGGTGCTCTGGTGAACAAA